TGGTTCTGTCCCTAATTACCTGTGAGAAGAGACCAGTACCAACCTCTCTACAATGTCCTTTCAAGTAATTGTAGAGCATGATGAGATCCCCCCTCAGTCTCCTCTTCATCAAACTGAACAGCCCCAGCTCCCTCAATCGCTCCTCCTAAGGTCTGTTCTCCAGGCCCTTCACTAGCTTTGTTGCCCTCTTCTGCACTCGCTCCAACACCTCGATATCTCTCCTTCTCACATTCCTCGCTCATATTCACAAGTTCAAAAAAAATCCATTAAAACGACCATTTGGGGAAGCAACTGAGCAAGAATTCTCATTGATTTATTAGAGGTCTCTACTTCTATCAAGCTAAAAGAATACTTGTTTCCCATTTTCTGTTTTTAACTATGCTGTCTTACGAGTCCACAGTTGAGATCTGCTGAGACAAAATCCCCAAAGTCTAACAGGTGCCTCTAGCCATGAATGACAATTTTGTTCGGTATACACACGCATACGTATAAATACACATAATTCTAAATAAGTAATCAAACAAGTAACACTTGCAACATACACGCTTCTGTGTATTTGTTACACCACTTAAAACACATCAACAGGGTATGAATTACTGTTAAAACATGTTACCTGTTGAAATAGCTGCCAAAGAAACGCACTGTTTGCCCCTTCAGAAAACTCTTCCTTCTTACAATTACTACTAGACAAATAACACCTATTGCAACCACATTAAGGCTGAATTCTAAGATGTCAACTCTAAGGCTTCAACTAAGCAGCTTTTGTCATGTAATGAGGTATATTCTGAGGAATGCAATGAGGAAAAAAAAAAATAACCAAGTGACCGAGAAACCTTGAGAAGGCTTCTACGTTCCTTCCAGAGAAGCATCATCCCACGTGCTCTCTGTGCCTCAGCACACCTGCAGATTCTGAAGCCAACTTCTGCAGTTTAAAGAAGTCTTATTTCAGCAGGCTTATGCCATTTCCTTTCCACAGAGCATTAATCTTATACTTACGTAAAAAGTGTTTTTCCAGTAAGGCTATTTCCAGGTGACCTTTGATCTCATTCAGTCTGTCAGATTCCGTTCTGTTAAAATCCTGCACTCCTGAAGCCATGATGATGGTCCCTGGACCAGCCTATAAGAAAGCCAGAACACACCGACAGCTCAGAGCCACATTTCTATTTTTTTGTCATTTAAATACATCAGCTTCTTGGGCAGTAACAAAACAGTCTTGTGAGAAACATGCAAGTATTGACAAACTCTGCACGCCTCCTATTCAGCATTAAATTACCAAAGCAAATGAGGGAAAGCTAATCAAACACACAGGATCTCTCCCATGCGAGTTTAGGGCACGCACTTCTGCAGACCTCAGTGAGTTACCGAAAACCAATTCTGCTGCATCATCATTCACCCTTTCTTGTGCTGATTTAAAAGTCATATTTATACTATACCTCTCACCATTAAATGAGTGGTCAATGCAGCATACTTTATTGTATATTTTAATATCCATTTACAGAATGTGTAATTCTGAAGACCAGTCTCTCTGCAAGGAGGGGGTTCCCTGCTCCCAGCAGAGCCCAGTTACTGCTGAAGGATGTCACTGGGGCCTAGCAGCTCATCCTGACAGGCCAGGGAGTCAGGAGATCGTGTGTCTCAGCAGATTTACCAGTACCCCTCGAACGACCTCAGCGCTGGAAATACTGCAGCCCGCAGGAAGCCGAGAGCGGTCTGATTAGTTAGGAGGAGCGGCGACAACCACCACCTCCACAAAGCGAGAACAGAAAAAGCCCAAGCCCACACAGCAGAAGGCAGGCGATGCTGTCCTCCTAACGTGGGCATTTTCAGACAGCAGGGAAAAGGGGTGGTGAGGACATCTCCTGGGTAATGGCTGTTCAGGCACTGTGTGCAGTCCCCGCCAGGTACACAAAGTCTGACAGTGAGAATTACAGCAGCTTTCCCAGCAGCTTATACTCAGAATCAAACTGCTTGATTACAGAAGCCTACATCTAAGAAATGATCTCAAGACAAAAGGGGATTTATTTACATATCCGATTCATTCCCCTCCCTTGTGTGAGCCCTGAAATTATACACGTACTAGATTGCTTTCAACAATCAGCTTGCATACATTTAACCACGACAGTTTAAATTACACATATATATATATACACATACAACTCAACTAATCTATAAGAGAGTTAATTGAAACACATTTTCTACGTTTAGGAAAGATGCGCAAAAAGCTCACTGACAGCAAAGTACTTTCACTGTTGGGAATGATTTGCACTTTTAAAATAAAACAGTGTGGGGATACCTATTAAACATCTGTTTTCTTGCTTGAGCTGAACGGATGCTGAGTTTAAGCCTCGGAATTTGTCTATACAGGCAAATTAGCACTCTGTAGACATCTACTGCACGGCGTTTGCCTGGCACCAACTCCTCACCTGGGCCTGCTCAACACACTGCCAAGCAGAGATGCTATTTCCAGTCCCAAAAGCAACACACACCCACACGGCCCTCTGCCAACGCTGCTGGCCCCGACGAGGAGCAGAAGCTGTCAGCTTAGCAGCAGCCCCGTGCTTTTTCTCATTTTGGAGCCAGCACGAACCACGCCAGAGCAGAGACGGACAGAGCCCAGGGCAGCCCTCACATAGCGTCCTCCTCCCCGTGCTCCACATTTCCCGCTTGGTCCTGCCTTCAGCCAGAGAGGCGCAGTCAGACACGCCACGTGCAACTGCTCCAGCCACTGCTGAATCATAGAATTATAGAATGTTCGGGGTTGGAAGGGACCTCGAAAGATCATCTAGTCCAGCCTCCCTGCCAGAGCAGGATCCCCTAGGGCAGCCACACAGGAACGTGTCCAGGCGGGTTTTGAAAGTCTCCAGAGAAGGAGACTCCACAACCTCCCTGGGCAGCCTGTGCCAGTGCTCTGTCACCCTCATAGTAAGAGTTTTTCCTCACGTTGAGTTGGAACTTCCTACGTTCTAACTTAAATCCATTATTCCTTGTTCTATTACTAGGCACCACTGAGAAGAGATTGTCTCCCTCCCCTTGACACCCAAGAGTGGCAGCTGCCCGTTTGCAGAGGGTGGCAATTCACCTCGGTGTCCATTTCTTATCTACAGAGCTGGGTCGTATTTCTTCACATGGCAAGATTTAGTGTTAGCACTTGGAGAGCCCCAGGCAGGATGGTGTGGCTGAAGTGGAACAGCAGCACCCTAACAACACGTTCTACAGGCAGGCACCAGGAAAGCGTTAGCAAAATACAGATCGCTGCCCAGGCGTTAGAGCATTGTATATCCATGTCTGGTACAAGGGGACAATCTCTGGGAGCAGACTCCCAGCACAGTGGATATCATATGGAGCTGTTTAAAGGAACAGTGCCACTGCTTGAAAAGAAATACACAGAAAAATAAATAAAATCACGCACAGGTCAAAGAGCAAGATGCTGTGCTTACCGGGAACATGCCCAGGCTCTGCGCATCAGCCCAGTGCTGAGACAGAACCTGACTCCTGCCCAACCAGTTCCCAGTCCCCAACCCCAAACGCTGCGGCAGGGATGGGAGCACAGAGATAGAGGTGAGGGAAGAGAGGAGGAAGAAAGGGATCAGCAGATATCTAAGCATGTTTTAAGTTTTCATCCTTACTGAAGATATTCAACATATTTCACCCAGAGATGAGCTACATTTCAGAAATGCTTCCAGAGAACCTGCTTTGCTTTTGCTTCTTCAGAGATGTTAAGTCATTATTTAAAGCCCAGGATACCTGGACTGTGCCTCTCAGGAAGAAGGGAAAAGCAAGAGGTGTGTGGCACTGGGGACAGTGATATGAGTTAACAGGACTCTTAACTGAAAGTTTCCAAATGTGTCTATCCTACGCAGCACGGGATCCAAGAAGTCTGACATTAGTCGATGGGTTAAAAATCAGGAGGTGCACAGCACTAAACTAACCGCAAACAGTTACAATGACTTAAGTCAGAGAAAAAAGAAAAAAAATAATCCACTAAGTTAAAACATCAGGCTGCTTACTAAGAATACTAGGAGCAATTATCATGCAATTATCACGTAAAAATAAAATGGTTTACCCAGAGTAGTAAGATAAATAGTGATACAAGTTTGGTGGAAGATAAAGTACCCAATTTCCAAAATTAGCGATGCCATACTGTGTTAATAAACACAATTTAGAAGTGTTCAGAAAACTGAGCATGTCCAGGACAGTGATATGAGAGACATTTAAGCAGATGACTGTTTTGTTCAAGAAGCTTTTCCCCCACACCTCATTCTGTCAAGAGGTGAGAATGGGCTAAAAAGATAAAAAATAAGGTCTATACACTTGCTGGAGGTCAACTGCTTGCCTCTGAATTCAAAAAGTACTTCTGTCTGAAGTTAGCATAACTGACTCAACTCACAACAACAAAAAATCTTGCATTAATTCCAGTGTTAATTGGGTAAAGGTTTCTCCTTTCTGTTGCCTTTGTAGGCTAGTGCTGGGACTCGGGCTGGATGAACTACATGGTACTGTACAGATGCCCTTCCCTGCCTCTGACTCACAGTAAAAGCCTCGAAGACTTCCACAGATTGTTGCTTTCCCTTCTGCCTCTCTGGCAGCATTTGACACAGGAGCCCTCTTACAATGTTGGCAATCACTATTACTTAGTGAAGATCCTGCACAAGGCTTGGCGGTGCCCAGGAAGCCAGCAAAATGCCAGAGTTGAGCATGGAGTCAGAGACAGAGGGGTTAAGGGAAGATTTCTTACGACACGTTGCCTCTAACCCACTCTCAGAGTTCAGAGCTGCTGCTCAAAGCCACATCCAGCTTCAGATCTCAAAACCCACATCTCCCCTCAAATATGTTTTTCAAGCCATCTGCAGTTCAGGCTTTTTGTAACAGTACCTCTAAACCTGAGAGTCCTCTGCTTTCCCACCCCAGACACCCTTCATCCTGTGAGCCTGGGGACTTGGTCCTGTGTGCTGAGCACCAACGCCGCTGTCGCTGAACAGCCACAGAAAAGGTCTAAGTCACTTCTTAACTGAGCAGTTTTGGATGTGTCCCCTCCATCTGCAGCACAGCACGTCTTCACCAGCACAAAGACAGGTAACTGGCCCTCTCTCTCCTTTTATTCTACCTTCACAACATAACACGTGGATGACTTTTCTTTAGGAATATCTGACAAAACACTAGTCTCATTTCTGAGTTTGCAATCAACTTAGAAAGGAGCAGTTCTCAAACACACAGGATGAGGAGCAGCAAGGACACGGCATGCCAAGCCCAGGGGCACAGCCACCCACCCAAGTCACTCCTTGGGGCCCAGCGGTGGCTGGGACACAACACAGGGAAGAGGTAGTTTAAAACACAAAAATTTAACTTCCATTCATTTGAGCAGTAAGGAAAAAAGAATAATAATCTTCGGTAACAAACTACAGAGCTTGTCTAGATTGTAGCCTCACATATTTCTCAACTGACACTTCATGTGAATTTTCTTACTTCAAATTAGGAAAGGTTTCCTCGTGGTTGCTGCATTTACCTTCTGTAAGGAAAGGCAAAACCCATCAACACCGCTCAAGAACGAAAACATGTGCATGAATAGTTAATCCTTAGTAGCTATTCTTGGAAGCACACTGGCAATCTCCTAGAACATTGCTAAATCTTACATAAGTTTTTTAAAAAAATATAGTGCCATCCAGGTTTAGAGACTATCTTAATTTTAACTTTTGCATCATGCTTCATCCCTGTCAAGCATCGCGCTTTATACCTTCCAGTCACTGTAACTGAGGTAACTGATACTGAAGCATTTAACGTTTTAATAGACATGTTTCAGGAAAAGCCAAACTGTACTGGAACAGCAATTAAATTAAGGTTTTCTGTACCACAATAACTCAGATTTAATCCTAGCACACTGGCAGGGAACTTCCATAAGCAGATTAGAGTGCTTTCAGTACAATATGCCAGGTACGAGTGCGCTTCGACTTGTAATTCTCACTGCCAGGTTAGTGCAAAACCTCCCTGGGTTTAAACCCAGCTTTACTCTTTCCCCTCTCTGCCAAAGGGGACACGACTTTCCTCCTCACCAAGTTTATTCTTATATCTGTACATAGTACTGAACATTTTCTCCCTTTTTATAAAAACGGGACATTTGTCACATTAGGAGTACATAAATTCAGCTATAGCACAAAACAACGAGACATAAGTGAAAATGGGGCAAATCAAGTCAGAACTGGCAAATACAAGTACAAGCAATGACTTTCAGTGCTCAGTCCCCTTCCCTGACCATGTGCTTCCAAGTACATCAAGTTGCCGCAGAAATGTTTTAAAGCTTTTTTAGGTGCCGAATTGTGATCTAGCAGGAAGGAACCCATGCTGCATCTACAGAATAGGAAACCATGACAGCACTGAATAAAGAGGATTTTAATTACCAAGCAAGCAACATAACCTGAATTTCCAATTCCACAAGACAAAGGTTTATATGTTCATTATTAAGAAGTAGGAATGGACCAGGTTACTCCCTTTATCTATTTCACAGCTGTGGTGTTTGCAAAACAATGCAGAAATAACAGCACTGCACACAGTGCTGAATGTCCTTGCTTTAAAACAGCCCAGCCAATCACCCAAGATAAAGAGGGAAGGGAGGAAGGTGTATTGGAAGCCACTCAGCAACTGAAAGATCCAAAGAGATAATTTGTTAACCAACAAGAGACCTAAGAAAGGACCTGCTATCCAAGACATGCTTGGTAGCCAGGGCACTTAAATATGAGGCAGAAAAGCACCCACAAATGTAAACAGCCAGCCTTTAAATTGAGACCAAGACAGTTCAAATTAAGAAAAGTCTCAGAAACCACTGAGGAGAAGTCAAAGAAAATTGTTAATCTTTTCAACCCCAGGGCCTGCCTACCTGGAGCTAGCTGTGTGCTCTACCCAAACACAACTTAGGGTATTTGTTACTGATCTAAATAGGTAAAGCTCAGTTTAAAGGTAAACAATGTAAGACGACCTCATGTGGCCATCCTTTCTCTCCTTCCATGGGGGTGTAAATTTTGCACTTGCTACTTCAGTGAAGCGCTGGGACTAAGTCCCACCACTGTGTCTGTGGCCTGGGACTGACCGTTCTCTTGCTGGAGGTGTGCAACAAAGGATGCTCTTCTTTGCAGATCGTCAAGGCTCTGCAATCACAGGCTTTTAGGATGAGGCTTTTTACTCTAAAACTTCCATTTGTGGCAAGTTTTTGCAGACACTTGTCAAGTTGAAACACATAAAGAAGAGGGACCTAACGTGCACATTTCCAAGTGCGCTACATACCCCTGAGGCACAGTACAGAAGGGTCTTTCATTCATATGACTGTGCTGTACTGTTCTAATAGACAGAGATCTTTCTTTAATGTCTCTGTAATGATTAATATATCAGACTGGGGAAAAAAAAGAAAAAAGAAAAGAAGGAGAGTGGGGCAAAGATTAAGCTTTTGTCAAGGGAATGGCTGACAGTGGAGTCAAGAGACATTTACATATTGAAGATGCAGATAAAGGGACGTGGACTCAAATTCTGCATGTCTATGCTGAATTCCAAGCCACCTATCTTGCCTTTTCAAGCCACTGAGTTCTATACTCACATTTTAATAGCAACAGTGAAGCAACAGATGTGGAAGCACACACAGTACAGCTCACATCTATCTATGCACATCTAGACAGCCTAACTTCAGTTTACCCACGAGACTTGCATTGACTTTTGTATGTTTTCAGCAGTTCCCCAAAGGTATTAAACAGGAAGAAATCAATAAGACTTGGTATTCTCATGATCAGTGTAAAAGTATAATACTTAGTTTCTTAAAGAGCCTATAAAAGAAAATCACCCTGTATAAGCAATTTGAGACCTTTAGTCACTGAATTAAAAACAATTCAGGCACAACTCAACCACACCATCTCAATAAGAAACATAATTCAGAATTTCCCTGTTCACATGATCTCAGTCACTATTTTAATTTTGACTTATATATATATAAGCACTACTTTCTTTACTCCTGGCACTGCTGCAGCACAAGAGATTATTTCTTCTCCCTTCATTTTATTTATGGTCAGCAGCACTTCGAGGGCAGATGCCTGTGAGGACCGAGTGCTAAACCCCCAAAACTTCCCTCCTCAAGCGTATCCCTTATACATCAGACTTCTTCCCTCATACAAGTTTGCTTATTTTGCTCACATCTGTAACACAGCTGCTGCTCTTAGGCTGTTCCAGCATCACACTGGAACATACTGGAACTATACTCAACTGTATCCTGATGATTTAGCTCACAACAGCTTACTTAACAGTACATAATCAACCAGAACACAAAGCGTTTCTCTTCAGATTATCTTCTCAGCACACAGAGCTCAAAGATTTGAGAAAACAGAGACCATCACTGCAGATGTGTAGCCATAAGGCTCTATAATTAGTAAAAACTCTAGGTTTACCTCACTATTCCCTCAGCCGTATCATCCTGGAGCTACTATTCTCCTAAAGAAATATAGGAAATAGTTCTTTCTGTAGCTTCTAGTTCTGTCATGCAGGTCCTTCTGATTAGATACAAAGAGTATACCTTGCTCTTCACACATAAACAGAGTGCCTTAAAAGTTTAATGAAAACATGCTAGTATCAACCTACAAAAAGCTCAGGAAATACCATGCTGAAAGGGCAGCAGCATAGATTTGTCCCAGTATACACAATACATATGTCATAATAAATGACAGATGCCTTCAGTAGAATAAGAGCAAAGGAAAGGTATTCAACAGACTTCTTTGAGAAGCTTGAGGCTTTGCATACAACAGACTTTTTTCTGAACAAAAGATGATCTGTCATTACCACTTGTTTGTTGCATGATCATAGGGAAAAAAATTCTGGCAGAAGAGCTCCACATAAGCAGGATTGTATGTGATACCACACAAGTCCACAGGATACAAGCTGCCAACCCCAAATGAAATGTTTAAGCACATAAAAGTTTGAAATCTTTTAGTTTAACACTTCCAGAGAACAAGTCCCATGCTCCTACAAATGAGCTTTCAGACAACAGCTTGGTCATGTTTGGGGGATAAAAACTAGGGTGGCACAAACTCTGACTTCCAAGTCACATTCTACAATACAGTTAAGTCAACAAATCTCGATTTAGATTTGTAGTACTTCAAGCTCAATGATCCACAGCCATTTTTTAGAAGTTAAACCCAGATTTATTATTTTTTAACCAATAATTAATCTTTTCTGAAACAGTACCTTTTAAAAAGCTAGGTGTGTTTGGGTTCTTCTGCTTATAAGCATTAAAAAGTTTTATCACCTGAGGAGTCTTGCTCACCTTCCTCATAGGTTTATACGAGCTCTATAGCACAGAAGCATCACTGGATACAACACCGCAGTGAAGAACAAAGTGGTGTGACCTTCTAACTCTAACAAAGCCACCAGAAGGTGTGGATAAAAAGCTGGACATGAGCCACCAATGCGCGCTCACAGCCCAGAAGGCCAATCGCATTCTGGACTGCATCAAAAGCAGTGCAGCCAGCAGGTCCAGAGAGGGGATTCTGCCCCTCTGCTCTGCTCTGCTGAGACCTCACCTGGAGTGCTGCTTTCAGCTCTGGGGCCCTCAACACAAGAAGGACGTGGACTTGCTAGAATGGTCCAGATGAGGCCACAAAAACGATCAAAAGGCTGGAGCACCTCTCCTAAGAGGACAGGCTGAGAGAGTTGGGGCTGCTCAGCCTGGAGAAGAGAAGGCTCCAGGGAGACCTTACAGCAGCCTCCCAGTACCTGAAGGGGCTGCAGAAAACCTGGGGAGGGACTGTTTACAAGTGCATGTGGTGACAGAATGATGGGCAATAGTTTTAAACTAGAGCAGGGTAGATTTAGATTAGATGTTAGGAAGAAGTTCTTTACTATGAGGGTGGTGACACACTGGAACAGGTTGCCCAGAGAGGTGGTGGAGGCTCTACCCTTGGAGGCACTCAAGGTCAGGCTTGATGGGGCTCTGAGCAACCTGATCCAGTTAAAGATGTCCCTGCTCACTGCAGGGGGGTTGCACTAGATGACCTTTAAAGGTCCCTTCCAGCCTAACACGTTCTATGACTCTGTGAAGTCTTATCCCCACAGCCCTGGTCACTGCCATTTGAGCAGATCTGAGCTCCTCAGACTTCAGTCTTTCCTTCAGATGTGTTCATTAGCAATTCAACAAAGCACATAAAAGACAGCATTCAGAAGCACATCCAAGGTTAACAAACCTGTCAAGCCACAACATCTAAAATCAACAGTAGGGGCAGGGAACTATAATATTAAGAATTTAATTGACCTTTCCTCAAAATAGAAATCTACTGCAAGAGGCTTACTTCCTAGTCCACATTCTGCAGGTGTTAAATCCAAAATATAGAGACAAAGAATTATTCATTTCTGTTATTTTTCCCTGACAATGATGTAACATAATATAATAATAGTTAAATCGTACTTACAGGGTCTCTCAGCTCTTCATTGTCTCGAGTTGACGTTCGAGGTATTTTCACTGGGATTTCATCTCCACATTCAGTGTCTGAAGCATTTGGAGACTCTGCTAAATCAAGGAACTCATCTCTCTTGTGACCTCTGAACCTTATTTTGTCCAACTTCTTTAGCATGTTCAGCACTGCACTTTTCTGCTTTACCTTAACATGACGGTTGGAGTCTCTGCAAGAAACAAGACATCAAAGAGTACTTTAGAAAGCTTGCAATAAACCTAAATACACACATTCTGACCACTAACTACTTCAAACCATCTTTTAAGGGCCTTCCTGCCACTGGAGAAAAAACATGATGCAGCTTAGCTTTTTAACAGGCACTTTTTTTTCCACAGTGTAACAGATGCATGGTTTGTTTTTCAGTAGTTGATGACTTATCATCTTCCCACACTGTTATGGCCTCTTTCTCACGGCTATTTTTAAAGCAGATCAGAATGGGCACAAGCTGCATTCCAAAGAAAGATTGGGAAGTCAGTTCCTAACAGGTTACTTGAAACAAAAAAAGTTTAGGTGGTAAGTCTACGCTCTTCAACTTGCTGATGCTTCTAATCAAAGGCACAAAAATCCACTGCACAACCAATCTTTGTATTCCCAGAAAAATTGCAGCAAAGGGGTAAATATCTCCCTACTGCTTCAGCCTAAGAAAACAAAGTACCAAAAGTTTATTGAAGAACACCAGAGATCCTACCAAAAACTAGATCGTCGAAACAGACCATAAACCACACTCCAATTCACTGCCAAAATCCTTAAAATTGCCACTATTCACAACCTTGTACACCCTTTGCTAGATTTCTGTTACTCACTTTGAGATGCAGAGAATAATCATTTTATTAGTTACGCTTTCACGTTTGTTTTTTTTAAACTTAGCACGATCAAAACTTTCCTGTAAGAGAAACAGCACAGGCAGTATTTCTGCAGAACATGCAGGTGCCTTGGCATCAGGTGGAATGAGAAATGTCCAGGACATTTCACTTCCAGAGACAGTATTTCACAGGAGCCAAACTTAAATCCTAAATCGCAAATTGTACTGGGAGAAACATTTTCTTTTTAAAAGACAATAGAAGCAAGCTTAACTAATCTACATAAACTCATTGTAATGGTAACTATCTAACACTGCTGTACAATTTCTGATTTTTATTTTTTTTTTTAAGAAAAAGTTAGTTCCTTCATCCTGCCACTCCAGCAAGCTATTGCTCTGGTAGTTTATAACAAATCAGCCACAATTTTCTGTCCTACAAACTCTGTTTCTCAGCTCAGAGCGTTCCATTTGCAGGGTGCCACAATGGTCTCCCAAGCAGACTTCCACAGTAATAAAAATTTATTTTGAAGCACTTGTTCCCATTACTATCCTTTTTTTCCCTCCTCTTTATTAAAAAAACATGCTTAGCTTAATGGCACATCATTCCAGGCACTGGTGTGAGACAAAAAAGCAAAGGCAGGTCTAGACATGAGTCACTTCAGGCGTATAAATAAAGGAGCAAGAAAGAAGGGCCTTTTGCTACTGGTTCCCACAGCCTTTGCACTTGAGGTAATTCCCACCTCCTAGCACAAACCTTTTTTTCAACAGAGCTTTTCACCTTTCCCTGCAGATTCTCTGCTTACCCTAACACTTTGGCAGGGACTATTCACACCAAGTTCAAACCAGATCGTTCTTTTCAAAATCTGCCTTAGTCTGCACCTCTGCCAAGGTTTATCAGCACCCTTCACTTAAACATGCAAGTTTGAAACTAATACAAAACCCCTACCACGCAGCTGGCCAAACCCCCCAAAAAAACTTCTGTATCAGAGACGCTTAAGTTCGGAGTCCTGTGTTTATGCCCACCTGAAGAGAATCACTTGCAGAAACTCACACCAAGGCTATTTTCTATGAACAGCTCTTCCTTGAAGTTCTATTACTTGTCAGAGCTAAGTTCAAAATAGAAACACTTCTTGCTCATTCATTGACTATTCTGATGAAGAAACTTGTCAGCTATCACATCTGGAAATATCTCTAGGCCCTACTATTAATAGCAACTAGAGAACAAGTGGAAGTTTAAACCTCTGATAAGCACCGGCACAATTGTATCGCGCTCTCTCCCATCACAAAGATCTCCATCTATGTTCAACCAGTTCCACGTGCCATCTAAGTCATACATGCTCCACATGACTACAGCAAAGCAGCTGTAAACCAAACCTCATTTGCTCATCATCCATGCTGTTACCGCTAACGATACAGCTACATGAAGAAACAATAAGGATGGTAAAGTGCTACCCCTTTTCTGGTGGGCACTCACCAGCCCATACTAAGGGAGCCTTCTCCATCCCTCTTACAGATGGAGCAGTTAACCCAAGGCTGCAGAGGAGCATTGCTGTGATGGGCAGAAACAAGAGTCCTCGGCGTTCTCCTGTTAAAGCCACATTTACCCACCGCTCCCCAAAGATCACTGCGGGATTCGGACCTCTTTTTATAGCCTGGCACAAATAGCTCTTAAACCAATGTTTCGAGATCCGAATTCAGTTTTCCCCTTAGAGTGGATTCACATTCACTCATCACACAAAAGAAGTGAGAAGCAACAAAAATAACCCGAGGCAGAGCAATCTCCAAGCCTTCTCTTCAAGCTTGGCCTTCAAGCAATGAAGAATGAAAGACCCAGGAGGCCAGTAAGAAGGCCCAGCGGTGTAACTGCCCGGCTTAGACACTGTTTGGGAACACAAAGTCCTAAATTCCAGCCTCCCCTTACGACGGTCCATGCATTTCATCCCCAGGTCACACATTAACCTGCCCAAAAGATATACCCATGAAGACATTTACAGTATTTTTTACTGATGTACCTACCGCACCACTCTACCATTTTGAAACGGTAACACATATTTCAAAAATGCAAACCTTTCTTCAAAGCACCAACAGGCCACTCCACTGAAAAGAGTCAGCTTACATTCTGTAACACAGAGGCTGGCAAAAAGAGAGGTCATCGGCATCAATATTTTTAAAGTATTATTCAGTAGGTTGACCATTAAAAGAGGAAACAGGGAAAAATCATGTTCCTAGGCATTTTAAGCACTTTAAGTACATGAAGCTGTTATATAAAAATATCTGCTCAGTTCTATTTCAAAAATAAGATCACTTTGTCTAAAAATTGCTTTGAATGTACCAGGCTCCAAGATTTCTTACAGTTACATTAGATTAACCTAAGCAAAAACCTAAGCTTGCCAACAAGCTCCTATAGAAACTCATTACCTGGCCTACAGCCAAACGTACAATCTAAGACAGGCTTTTTATGTCAGCAGCCTGTTCTTGCAACTCGCAACTTTTTTTTTTTTTTAGATACAGATCAATAAATATGGAGACATTTCAGCAGTTTCAGGCTAACTAGGAAAAAAGCTTCTCGGAGATTTCGTGTTCCAAGTGTCTCGGGTCAAATTTAGACAAGCTTGAGGAAGCTTTTGCAAAACGCAAGACCAGAGTCTGATATAGAATTAGATTTATTGTAAAATATAGTAACCAAATACGAAAACATTTGGTTCCCCATCGTAGCCATTCATCTTGTCACCCTCTCCCAACCACCCATCCACATCCTGGACTCAGCTGGCTCAGCTCTGAGTTTCAGACTGTTTCTAACAACTCCCCACACCAGCAACATCAAAACCAATATGCGCATGCAGAGCCCAGAGTGGGAATGCAGATCTGCATCTCCCTCTGCTTTCAAACAAATATTATGAATTCATGATAAACATACAAATATTTTAACTCCAGGAGTGATAATCACACTCATTTCCCAACACTATCATATGTGTGACAATAACTGTTCTCACTACCATACAATAAGCAAGCTATAAATAAGAATGAAGACGGTTTCATGCTTGCAAATTATTAACTCAAGCAAACTAAAATCAAATCCATCCTCCCGAATCAAGTTTGTTTCTGCATACAAACACCCAACCATTAATATAGGCAACAGAAGATCTTTCCCACGTTCAGTGCTGCAAGAGAAAGTGCTGCAGAGCTCAGTGAGGGAGACGCTGACTCTGCAAGACTAATCTAAATCCAACTTCGCTGCATCTCAGCCAGATCTAATAATACTAGCAGGTCCTCTGTCATAATATAGTAAAGATATCTTACACTAACACACTTACAAACAAGCACCCAGGGTTTTAAGACGGTGCCTTTTATTTCCTTTGTTGCAGTAGCAGAGGTCAAACCAGCAAAGTTAAACAGCAGCCTGTAAAAACTATCCTGAAGTGCCAAATCATCTAGTAAAAAAAATGAAGCAATAATTCATGTATACAGGGCTTTATAAGTGTAAAAGATCTATAGTTGCTACACAAAAAAAAAAGGTTTTTTTAATTGTTGTTACTATCTAGTTGCTAAAGCAAATACATTAAGGCTGAGGTTTTATTCCTTTTACAAAGGGCCAGAGAAGAGATGATTTTACTTCGAGTTAACATGAAAAATCTTCAATTAACTCCCAAATAACTGCCAGCTGTTCACTTTAAATGAATATACCAAGACCAAACCAACATATGCAAACATTCCACACTTATGCCGAGAAAAATCAAGTTTTCCCTGAGTTTCACAGAAAAATCACACGGCAATGTAGCACAGCTCTTTCTGCCTACTTTTACAGAGAGGCTTCAGCAAGGAGACCACCAGCTGCTGCAGAACGACAAGAGCCAGCCTGCCTGGTGCCATCTGGAGGGGCTCGGTTATGGGCCTTGCTCTTGCTCCGAGGGAACACTGGCACAGGTTGCCCAGAGAGGGGGTGGAAGCTCCATCCCTGGAAGTTTTTAAGGCCAGGCTGGATGGGACTCTGAGCAGCCTGATCTAGTGGGGGAAGTTCCTGCTCATGGTGAGGGGGTTGGAACTAGATGATCTTTAAGGTCCTTCCAACCCTGACAATTCTATGATTCTACGATGGACACCCCCCCTCCCAGTTCCTCTGCACCACTGCTCCCCCCATGCTCTGCTCTTCCACAAACATGGAAGAGCTTGGGATGAAGAAAGGAGGAGGGAAAGGCAGCACTCAGTGAACTGCTGCTGTCCAAAATCCTCCTTAACACGCTCCAGAGTCTCCTACAAACGGCTGATAGGTTTGAGTTTTCTTGCATTTAGTTTCCACACGAGAATACGCTGCCTCAGACTACACGGCTTAGTAGACCGGACAGAGGTTAAACAGCTAAATCGTCA